TGAACCGAGAGATTCTTAATAGATTCGAGACACATATGCAACTAAAAAAGCTAAAAAATATAAAATATTATTCCCTAAATTTGTTCTATCTTGTAAGTAATTGAATAGTTATGACTATTAACGATAGTCACCTTGTATATACTAAAATTAATCGAACAAATTGTTAAATAAAATATTTGTTATTAATATTAAGTGTCTGTGATATTTATTAAACTTTGAAAGAACTTAATTTAATAATCCTGTGCAGTCGATCAAGATAGAAGAGGTAAATTAGCGGTCGCATAATACGGCATGTGATATGAATCTTATACAAATGCATAGTTAACATACCCAAAATAGTTAAATACAATAACTTTGTATTTCTGGTCACACGATTAGGGGTCATAAGCAGCAATATGTCAATCATAAAATCGAAATCCGCTTCCGGCGATTTGAAGTTTGTCGTTGTTAAAAAATTCAAAAGAAGCGATTTTCATATTTATTTATTAGCCTATTATTGTACAGCGTCCGGTGTAGGACTGCAACGATTGTGCGTGTGTGCGCGCGCGCGCCATATCACCACCATCCCAGGGGCTGCTCTGCCATTCATTACGTGTAACATGGGGACGACGGCGGTGCGTTGCCAAGGAACGTACGCCGGCCAAAGGGATGTGGCACGTGTGCCGTGTTGTGCTCACCGGACCGGACAATTTGTTAATTCTCAATTGGCGCACCGGCTACAACAGGAAAATACTAGTGACGTACAAGCACACGGAAACACAATAAAATAATTTGCATATCGTCGACACCTCCGTACGCACGTGATGATACTGCGGTTTTTGTTAGCGGTTAGGCTGAGATTTGAATTAATTACTGCAACATCCATACAACTGTCGTTTTCGATTGTCGACTATTGAATCAATCGACGTTAAAACGCGTTAACCCGAAAAATACTAACTGACAAACACATTATTATTTTGTTCTCACTGTTCTCAACTGTATTAAGCAAATAAAATGCATAAAAATCGTTCTCGATAACACTAAATGAGTAATGAAGTTAAAATAGCGTGTGATTATTGTTCTCTCTAATATCAATTATAACTTAACTCACAGATATATGATACTTAAGCAATACATTTTTATAGGGTAAACAAAATACGTGTGAAATATTAATTAAAAATATTTAACTGGAATAACCACAAAAAATGACTAAAACATTGCGTATCCCAGGAACAACATAATATTTAAGTATTTACATAGATTTTTACGCTATTTTTTAATCATTTTTATGGTTTTTTGAGTTCAATATTTTTTAGTTTTAAACTAATATTTTAAATATATTTCTAATTTTAAATAATATTAGACATGAGTGATCAATTCTTATTATACAGACAAATTAGAAAATTACTATTCTGCATAAACCTTATTTTAAAAATTATAATTATGGTACATAACTCAAGAAGTTGTCGTTTTTTTCAAATGTCATTAAAACTACAAATTTTTCATTAATAAACTCCTTTTTTATGATAATTACATAGTTGAATACATAAGTCGTTACTGCCGCCGAATTAAAGATGTTGCGTAAATTAAATATAAAAATGTTTTGATTAATTAAAAAGATTTAAAACATTTTATTTAGGTTTTGGTTTTAAATATCAAAATTAATTATTTCCCATGTGGGCCGTCCCAAAGTAGTTGGGATAAAGGCGAGTAAAAAGAAAAAGAATTATTAAATATTATTTTTATATTTAAGTAAAAATATTCAATTTAAAGAACTTTTTATCGTTTTTCAATACTTTACCACATACTCAATTCATTATTAACAAGAAATTAATATTTAAATTGTCTAGTATACCGTATAAAATTTAATTACTCCAAAGAGAGGCTCTAAGACTTTAATGAAATTAAATATTATGTTATTAAGTAAACTAAATGGGGTGACTGAAAGAATATTTACACATAAGCAATATTTGATAAAAATCAAATGCTTATCATATAAATATTTTGAAATAATTAGGAAATTAATGTAGGATCATTATATCAAAGTTTTAAGTTTTTTATATAATATTCGTTTTATTACATTTTTTTTTTTTAAACTTTGACCGGAATCAACCTGACATAGAGGTAATACTGGACATATTAAAACTCCATTGAAATGTATTCAAATTTAATATGATACAAATACATAAATAAATAAAAACTAAGTATTATGAATTTATATAGCTCTTTAATTACCACATGAATCAAGTTAATTTACTAATAATTTTATAAAGATTGATTTAATATGGAGGACTACTGTAATGCCGTAACCTTGGTGGTTTTTTTGACATAAGTCAAAAGTTTTTTGTTTAAATATTTTGGAATCCCTAAGGCAATAATATATTGAATACATTATATTAATGTTATAAGTTCATTATTAGATTAAAATTAATATTATATGATAAATGTATTTGGTCGGGTATTACACCTTTAGCATACATTTGATAATAATCAATTTATTCAATTTTTCCATAATTCAAGTAATGCCATTTATCAATATTTTCAAAACAATCTTCAACTCTTTGCAATTTAAAACCTATTATACACATGTAGGAGAAAAATGCCATAGAAATTCTCGTCTAAAAAGTAATTTAAAAGTTGCGAAATTGTTAAGTGAATATTAACGAAATAATAAAATCGTTGTTTTGGCGAGAAAAATTATTATACTACCTTTAGTCATCATATTTTAAGTAATAATAATAATAATGATTATCTTACTTTGCAATCCATGTCATACTCATTGTTTTAATTAAGAAAAAATTTGCGTAATGGGTATTACCCTGTGACCGGCATCCCTCCAGTTTTCCTTATATATTATAAAATATGGTAAATATATATTTTTTAAAATTTATTTTCATAGTAATATACTGCTATTTGTAAAATACACTTTTTATTATTCTCAATACTCATTGTAATTTATACTTGCTTGCAAAATAGATTCTGAAGCGTGCGATTGAAAATAAAAATAAAAAGAACACGGTAATTACAAACAATTGGCTTAGCCGTGGGCGAAATGGGTGTGCGAATGGTCGTTTGACTATGCGACGTTTGAAAACTAAAAAGGGGGAGAGAAGCGAGATACCCTTCCGCATGTTGTTATCGTGGCCACCGTTAAATCTTTATTTACCCTTGAGGGATTTGTTGTTATTGTAGTTTATTATTCACTTTTTTCATTCGTTCCACTCTGCGATATTCCTCTGTTATTACCGTTACTAAATTGGCCTAGTCTTTGGCGTCAGAAAACAAAAAGCAGTGTTTATGAGGGTTTATCATCTTAAACAGTGTAAAAATTACATACAATCGTATCCAACAATACCGCCCACACACACGTTTACAATCCATTTAAAAATTTAGTTCTCACGACCATTGGTTACTCACGTTAAATTATATTAGTAAAGTACATTTTATCAACACTTGTTGATTTTTCAATATAAGTTGAAGTAAAACTTAAGATGAAGTATAAGAAACATTCAATAATTGGCTTTTGATTAATAAAACGTTTGCACGTTTAATTAAAACTTGAATTGTACTTAGAATAATTTATAAAAAATATAATTTTTAATTAAAACATAAAAGTAATTTTTCTCACTCTTGTTTCTATATTATCTAAAATCAAATCAAAGTATTAGAATAATTCTAATCTAATCAATTTGACGCAAAATGAAAATTATTATTTATTTTATTTAATTAATAAAAAATATAACTATTGTACCATAGTCTAACATTACTTACAGTAAAAAATATGTAAGTCTTCAAAATACGTTATAACTGATTTTGTTTATTTTTACTTATTAATTTTCATTTTATTTTTTGGAAAACCCTTATTCGTTCAAAAAAACGTTCTAAAAGTTTAATCTTTTATGCAAAGTACGATAATTATACTAGATTTATTATTCTATAGACAGAAAACAAATCTGATTTGATTTTATAAAATATTTTACTTGTTATTAACAATTTTTAATTTATTTTGTTTAAAATAATAACTTTAAAACAAAATATTTTCTGTTAATGTTTTTTACAATTAGAAAATTATTTCCGATAATCAGTTACTATTTGTAAAACGTATTTTTTCTTCTTTTCATTTGTAGTTAATATATTGTTGTAATCTTCCATTAATTTAATGCCAAGCTCGGCTGTATCATTAACGACTCGTGATTTGCTGATAGTATTTAAAGCATTTATGTAACTACTGTTCACACACCAAAATGATGGATCAATTTTCAAAAGATCAGTGTTCAGATTAAATAGTTTAAAAAAGTCTAACGTTTTTTTTAATAAAAAATATTCAATATACTTTTTACAAAATCGACTATATCGGTTTGGTTTAATTTTAAACGTTTTGTTACCTAATTTGACGTTGAATTAAGATGAGCGATAATTTTTCATTCAATATTAACATCTATTTATTATCAAAAAATGCCAACCCAATGGATTGTGAACTTAAGTACTATAAGTGTTTATTTTAAATATTAGATAAATAATTTTAATCAAGAGTCTGTCATATATAAATTAAATATAATTAATCATTTTCAGTTATTTATTAAATAAATTAAATGCATTTAAAAAATTCAAGTATGTAATCGGTGTAACGAAAAATATTCTCAAACAATGTATAAAATAGTAGATTTTACTACATTCCACTAAGATTTTAATAGATGTAAATCATGTTTTAAATTAATACTTCCTAATTTTTATTCATTAAAATAAGTACTAATAATTATAATTAAATTGATACAGTAATATTTGTACATTATATGGTTTTAAAGTGATTCTCGTATCTCAAAACCAACATTTTTTATAACCAAAAAAGAAATTAAAAGAATAATATAATTTCAATTTTTGTATAAATATGAGATTTTAATAAAAATAATTTTAAAATCAATACAATACAAACTCTATACTAGTTTATATTTAATTTCGTTAACATCTAATTTTATCACAATTACTCAACAGTATAAATAATTTAAAATCTGATTTAGTATAATTAATTGTAAAACAAATATCCAATGGTTTCCTCTATCACAATATTTAATACAAATGAATATTAAAAATAAAATTATTTTTGAATACATTTAAAAAAAATTATGTTAAAATCATAGAAAAAAGGAAAAATTAAACAAAATACAAAAATATGAAATGAGAGTAAACAATTATATCATAAAACAAAAATTAACTAATAACTAACAAAATGGTGATATATCTGTGATCGATATTATTGAAGATGATTGTCAAACATTATTTTAAAATTCTTCTTTTTCTTTTTCTTGGTTGGATTTTGTTCTGAAATATTACTAGCTCTAGAAGTGGATTTTAAATCATTTTTTACATGAGATGCCAAACGTTCATGCTCTAGGAATCCTAAAACAGTGTCAATCGATGACTGGTATTCAACTGTAGGTATCGAAGGCTTGGAACGATATTTAACAATATGTTTCAACGCCGCAAGTTTATTTAAGGAATTTGAAGATAAAGATTTCAACTTAGGTGGCGACATAGTCCCAAAATCCTCAGTTAATTTAGAACGGGAAAGCGACCGTTTGATCATATTTAAAGTTGATAAAATATTACCCTTACCTTCCTTAGGAGATAAATATTTATTTTTCAAATTAACGTCATCAACAGGTTCAGTAACAAAAATTTGATTATCAATATTCTCCTCCAATTCATTAATATAAGCCAAAGGAACAGCACCAACAGCATCTGAAAATATAAATACACGAGATTTAAAATACAAAAAATTAATATCAGATAACACATATATAACAAAAATCATATATACCTAAGGATGATGACGAACCAAAACCAAAATGTAAACCTCCAGCTTTGTGTTTATGTTTTGGGTCATTTTGCTCAGCGTTGTTTCCTGACTGATTAAGTTCAAGTTTATTATTAATCTTTTCAGTAGGGGCAGCTGTGTCCGTAACACTAGACTTAATATTTACATCAGTTGGCTCTTCAATTATATCTCCAACTGCTTTAACAACGGATTTTTGACTATCTACAGATACGCCTTTTAAATCTTTATCGGAACTGTGATCTTGGTGTTTTATTTTCAATCCAGACTGGTCGATACCAATATCTATTACATTGTCGTCTTCATCGGTAGACTTTTGAACACTCAAACCGTGTGTGCCAAAGCCCAGTTTTTTGTCACCTAGTTTAATGTTTAAATCACCATGACCAAAACCAAAATGTAAACCTCCAGCTTTGTGTTTATGTTTTGGGTCATTTTGCTCAGCGTTGTTTGCTGACTGATTAAGTTCAAGTTTATTATTAATCTTTTCAGTAGGGGCAGCTGTGTCCATTGTAACACTAGACTTAATATTTACATCAGTTGGTTTTTCAATTATATCCCCAACTGTTTTAACAACGGATTTTTGACTATCTAATGACGCGCCTTCTAAATATTTATCGGAACTGTGATCTTGGTGTTTTATTTTCAATCCAGACTGGTCGATACCAATATCTATTACATTGTCGTCTTCATCGGTAGACTTTTGAACACTCAAACCGTGTGTGCCAAAGCCCAGTTTTTTGTCACCTAGTTTAATGTTTAAATCACCATGACCAAAACCAAAATGTAAACCTCCAGCTTTGTGTTTATGTTTTGGGTCATTTTGCTCAGCGTTGTTTGCTGACTGATTAAGTTCAAGTTTATTATTAATCTTTTCAGTAGGGGCAGCTGTGTCCATTGTAACACTAGACTTAATATTTACATCAGTTGGTTCTTCAATTATATCCCCAACTGTTTTAACAACGGATTTTTGACTATCTAATGACGCGCCTTCTAAATATTTATCGGAACTGTGATCTTGGTGTTTATGTTTTGGGTCATTTTGCTCAGCGTTGTTTTCTGACTGAATAAGTTCACGTTTATCATTGTTGTCGTCAATTTCGTCGATTTTATCTGTAGGGGCAGCTGTTTCAATTGTAACATTAGACTTAATAATTACATCAGTTGGCTCTTCAATTATATCTTCATCTACTTTAACATCGGATTTTTGACTATCTACAGACGCGTCTTCAATATAGTCTGTAATATCTATTTCAGAGTTGTCATTACTCCTGTAGGTCTGCATTGTGTTTTTATCTTTGTTTGGTTCTTGTTTCAGATTAGGTTTTTTTATGACAGATTCGTCGGATGATTTATTAATATTTTTATCATTCCGTTTTTTTCTTTTCTTTTCCTGACGTTCATCTTTTTTGATTTCTTTTTCGAGTGTTATGTTTTGTAATTTTTCGGTTTGGTAACTACCATAGTGTTTTTCATTTTTGCGTTTATTATTTTCGCCATTTTTACTATTATGACTCTTTTGATAACTTTCATGTTCTGAATCATGTGATCCATGATTATCTTTTGAATTTAATAGTGGAGTTTTTTCATCTGCATTACCTTGATCACTATCACCGGAATTATGATTTTTTCTCTGTAAAATAATTTTTTTTCATAATATATCGGATATAATACAAATTTTACTTTAACACTATAAAGTAATAGTTATAATTTAAATAATACAAATTTCATGTTAGTATAAATATGTGATCTATTTTATATTTTTAGTATTTTTTGATTAAAGAAATTGGTAATTTTTAGTTTTATAAAAACTATATTTTATGCATATATATGCTACATAAGCAGCTACTTGAAAAATCTGATTTTATTTTATAAATAATATTTTCATTTACACTTTTGTTTAAATTTTTGTTGAAAGCCGAAGGTTTGTTTTAAGTAATTAATGTAGCCTTTTAACTGCAACTTTATTGTTGTTTTATCAATTTTCGGCAATCTAATTTTTGAGATAAATACACTATATTTTTTGCTTCACCTACAATACACAATATGTGTATGTAGTTTGGGTATACGGTATATTAAAATGGCTATAATGCATGAAGTAATAATTGTTTTATTGATGACATTTTTTTTAAGGAAAACTAAATTTTCACAAAATTATGATATTATGATTTATTAGTCTTTTATTAATAACTTATGGATAAAATATATCTATATGCATTCTATATGTATATTTTCAGCGATTTTGAATTTTTTATTTCAATTTTAGCGAGACATTATACATGGTAATTCTTTCAACATTAGCCACAAAAATTCTCTTAACATAATAAGTTTTATTAAATTTTTTTTTAGGATTTTATAATTTACAAATATTAATCATATATGTTTTTCTATTCTGTTATTAAATAATTTTTAGGTATATTTAAATTTGTACTGGCGGTAGGAGGAGTGTGGCTTATAAATGGTAATAATAAATATAGCAACATCCAAGCTTAATCTCCACTCTATATTTTAAAATACTTTCAAAGTATTGGTCTAAAAATTGTTATCAAGCAATTTTTTTCTTAATTAGATAATTTTTAATTTTATAAGTTAGTTTAAGATGTATGTTGTCACTAAAAAAAATTCAATTTACATCCCTATAAGGTAAAAGAGATGGACCTAAAAATTATTTTTTAACAGAATAGATATAAATATGTAATTAACAAAAAAAATTATTTTAAGTAAAATTGAGTAACTAATGTTAATATTTATATACAGAGTGTTCAGTAAGTCAGGAAACTCATTGTTACAAACAATGAGAACAATAGAAACCCGTTTCCTGACTTACTGAACACCCTGTATATATATATATTCGGTAAGTGTATTAATTTTAAAAATAAATTGACTGAGTTAATTTGATTTCTTTTTTTAAATTCAATAAATTAAATTTTAAAAAAAGATAAAATTTTAAGAAATAAAAATTAATTTTTGTATTTAATTAAATTATTTTTTCAAATCAATGTTAACTCTAAATGCTTGTAAAAATAGATTTAAATAAATTAATCCACTTAAAACGTATTCTATTAAATCTCATCAGGTTTTTTTTTATTTTACTTTTCTCATTCATTACATTATTTAAACACACCTTTTTATTTAAATATCAACACCAAAAGTATAAGATTTATTAAATATATTATAAAGAAATATTTTAATTAACCTAAAATAAAGTAGGAGAATGCTGGACAATTTGGAACTTGTACCAATAAAACCATTTTGAACTAATAAAATTCTGTATTTTTAACCAAAAACTTAAAAGTTACAAAAATTAGTTGGTTAATATACAAGTCAATTTTATTAAGCTTTATTTTGCTATTTTAAAATCACAATTTTTACAAATTATACAAAGACACCATTAAAACATTAAATTCTTATTTCTCTCTTGAAAAATGTATTAAATTGGCAATTTAAGTTTTGAAAAAGAGCCACAAAGTATAAGTAAGAGTAAAAGAAAATATTTGTTAACATTTTTGAAAATATTTAAAAAATTATTAATCAAACAGCACAAAATCGTTAAAGTGAAAATATATGTATAACTCAAATGTTCCTAATATACAAAGACTAGACATTTTTTTTTTAATAAAACAAGTTTTTAATTATTGTTATTATTTCTATTATACTAATGTATAATGTATATACTAACTGTTCTCAATATTTCAAGGATTAATACTATCAATTTCCAAGATTATAAGAATAATAATTTATTTTAAAGATATTACTAGATCTTATGGCTGGTAATTATGCTCACCTTCTCATATTTTATGCTAAATAATTTTAGATTACTTACTTTAAAAGAAGTAAAGAAACCTTGTATAGATTCAAAGTGAGGAACTTGATTAACACCATTAATACCACGAAAATATCTATTAATTCCAGTGCCTACACTAAAGTATGCTACAGGCAATATAATTCTGAAAAATAAATAATAATAAAATTATAATTTCATATTTATTTATTTTTTATATAACTGGTTTTTTCGATTATTTTTATAAATTTTAACAGATGTTTTTGAATTAAAGTATGTATGTAAGTTTACATAAAATGAAAAAAAATATAATAATTAATTGGATTTTATAAAACCTATATAAACTAAGTAAAATTTGTCCTATAAAATTTTAATACAATTTATGCTTAATTACATTAATGCAGTGAAAATATATGAATCAATAAATTCAAAAACGTCTAGAATAAACTTTTTAAAATTTTTAGATTATCAATTAAAACTGTATTGCTTGTGTAATATTATAATAGAGTGTAGTTCATCAGTGACATATTTCTCAATAGTCTTTTACAAATTATCCAATTTTATTTATCAATTAATTTTCAATTATGATTAATTTTTTTTTCAAAATAGGTATTTAATTAAAAAATATTTTTTAATCCCTGAATTTTTTGTACGCATTTAATTTTATTTAAGTTAATAGATATTTTGTAGATAAAATAGTTTTAAGATTATAATTATTATAATTTAAGGAATATAATCTAAAAATATAAACCAAAATAGAGTACAAATGATTGTTGAATGTAAAAACAGCTATAAAACTAAACAAATATGAAACTAAAAATAATTTTTGTTCTTAGCTACTTCCCTATGAAATTGGTATAGAAAAATTTTTTAAAAATCTGTACAAATACATAAGCATGACTATAACATACTTATAAGCAAAAACAATTTTTGCAATCACCAATTCACTAAATAGTTTTTTTTTTTATAAACTTTTATCATATTGTTATTAACGGTAGATTTCTGACTTACATTGCTCCTACTACTGATATAAAAGTATTGGAAAATAAGTTCGAAGGAAAAGTTCCAGATTTTGTAATATTTTTCATAGTGTTCATTTTTAAACTTTCCCATATTTCATTATTATGATTGTAATTCTGTCCATTTTTACCAAATGAGTTGGAGGAGAGCTTAACATTTTCATTATTTTCCAATTTTTCATTTGTTTCATCTGGAAATTTTTGTTGGCTGTTGTCACAACCATAAGTTGAACAGTTTGAGTTAGAAACAGAATGATTCAAATGCAAATTATCCAAGATCAAATTAGAATTCATATTAGTCACATTTGAAGTATGGTTACTTTCTTTATTGTAATCAATTAAAAGAGTGACATTTTTATTAATTTCTTTTGATTTAAAATTATAAGTAGTTGAGTTGAAATCCAACTCGTTTGGAAAGTAATTTTTATTATTCTTTTGATCAATTCTATTCGTAAAATTAGATTGATTGTCTCCATTTTGTATTGATGTTGGTATTGTATTATTATACTTTTGGTTGTCTTTATTTTTATGATTTTCTGAAGGGAGTTTCTTTTCATTCTCGTTTGTTAAAAAAGGCACACTGTTGGTTTGATTGATACTAACTGGTTTTTTGTTTTCTTCATCAATTTTGTGTTTAATATAAGTATTGTTTACCCAAGTTTCCATAGGAATGTTATATTTTTGGGAAGTCAATTGGTCACTTTGATTTTTGTGAATTTTGTTATAGATTTGTTTATGGTTGGCAGTGCTTGTTATATTTCCTGCAATTCATCAATGAAATTTTAAATTAAGAAATATAACAAATACTATAATACTATAATAAATAATTAAATAGCCTTATTAAAAATGATGACAAAATTTAATTGTAATTATAATTTATAATCCATTTAATTACAAAATAACAACAAGATTTATTATTTTTATTTTTTTTATTAACGTTAAAATTAAACTTTTAATTAATATTTAAATTATATTAGAATTAATATTCATAATAAAATTGTAAAACTTTAAAAATAAATATATGATACAAACAATTTCATTTTATTACCATGAATGCTGTGAAAATTTTCATTGGAATATTCTGGTTTGCGAGGATTATTTTCACGATCAAAATCATATTGACTTATTTCTTGATGTTTTTCATAGTTTTTTTCATGCAACTGATTTTTTTCATTGTCAGAAATTTCCTGAGAATCTACAGGATGAATTTTAGAATTATTAATAATGTATTCGTGATCATTATTTAAACTGTTTTGGTAATATTTAATGTAATCAATTTCAGTGTTGTTAGAAGTCCAATACAATGAATCATTATCATTACCATGAAAGTTTTCATTATTATATTCAATATAAGTATGATTTTCATGATCATAGTGACTTATATTGTTTTGCTTATTCTCTTGATATTTTTCAAAGTCTAAATGTTTAATGTTTTTATCATGTTGTTGATTGCTCCCAATATTATGGATATCTGATGAGTTTTTGTCATTAGATTGATCTGATTTATGAATATAATAGTTTTTTTTATTACTATTTAGCATATTAGTTCTATTTTCATGATGTCTCAAAAGATTATAATGTTCGTTAGTTTTATTATAACCATGATTATTAAAGTCATTTATATAAATTTTTGGCAGATTTTCATTGTGATGTTCTGGTTTTTTATATTCATATTCTTGTAGATTTGATTCCATTTTTATTTTCTCATTATACTCAATATAATTATTTTTAGTGTGATTATTAATCTTATACAAATTTAATATTTCATCATCATCATTTTTCTGTGAGTTTTCAAATGAATTTTCAGACTTACCATGATTTTTCTTTTGATATTTATCATTATTAATATTTTCATTGTTCTTATTATACCATTGTTTGATTTCATTTTCGTGAATATTTGGCAAATTTTTGTTAGGTTGGTAAGAATTATGAATATCAAATTCTCTATTATTAGGCGTCCTTACACTATTTTCATGAGACTTAATATTAATGTTTTCACCGTTTTTTACATGTTCTGGAGTATTCTTTTCATTTTCATTAGTGATTGAAGTATTTTTTTGAAAATAGTCAGTCATGTTACCATTATTCTCAGACCCACTTGGTTCATATGTAGAATTTTCAATGTAATTAATATTTTTGTACCAATTATTGTTATATACTTCATGACCATTTTTATTTAGCTGATTATTTTTGTTTTGATATTCTTCATAATCGCTTGTATAATTTTCATTATTCTTCTGTCTGTTTCCATAATCATGAATATTCTGTGAATTTTCTATAGTGACTTCAGAATTATTACTTATGTTTTCATAATTAATATGGTATGGTTCATTAAAACTGTATTTGTTATACCTATCATATTTAATTTCAGTATTATTAATAAACCGGTAGAATGATCCATTATCAACAATTCTGTGATTGTTGTCATTATTATTCTGAATATTGTAATGATTATTCTCATAACCATTAGGCTCATTTTTTTGGTATCTTCCTGAATCTTTGTTATTATTTTCAAGCTTATGATAACCTGGCTCAGTTTTAATATTTTTTTGATAATTAACAAAATCAACATTTTTAGTATAATTAATGTTTTTATACCAATACAATGTATTATTATTGTTTATGCTTTTAGAGTTTACATTGTTATAATCAATATTATGTAGATTTTCAAGATCATGGTGATCTAATTCAAACCTATTTAAAGTATTTATTTTTTGATTATGATGTTGGTCACTAAAGTTGCTCATGTTATGTATTTGATCATCAGTACTTTTATATTCATGATTATTTGGTTCATTTTTAACGCCTTCATAATACTTAACATAATCAGAAAATACCTTATTAGTATTGTTTTTATTTTTATTCTCATTTTTTTGTATTACAGAATGATCATAGATGTAATTAAAACTTTGAGTACTGTTTTCATAATTATTAAACAAATTTTCAGTAATTTTAGTATTATTTTCAATTATATACATGTGTGTTGATTTTTTACTATTTGATCCATGCTTATTATTATCTAAATCTTTATCATACTTTTCACTCATTTTTTCATGCCATTGATTAATTTCATTTCCATGAATGCTCTGCGAGTTTTTGTTGGTATGTTCAGAATAGTTATCATTATTTTCATTTTTGTAAGGATTTACCTCAATTTTTGAACTTTTATAATGCGAGGGAATAATGCCGAATAGCACCTTAAGATTTTGTGAGCAAATTTTTGATGTTATTATATTAAAAACTACTTGACAAATTTCAGGTTGATCAGGATCTTCATCCATCAACAGTAAAGTGTCCTAAGTATAATAAACATAATTAAGTTGGAGTAAAACAATTTTTTCACAAAATTTTAATTTAGATTTGAAACATTGATAAATAACTAAAAATGTTTCATTTAAAAGTGTATATTTTTTCCATTATTAATAAATATACAATCTGTTCCAAAGGTACGATAAGAGTATTTGCTAAAATAAATATATAACATGATTTCTTAACAAAAAAAACACCCCTTTAATAATACTATTCTTAAATATATATTAAGTAATGTGGTCTACATGAAAAACAAAACACAATATTCACACCATTTAATTATTCACATTTTTTTTTTTTTTTGTATCAAATGACATAAGAACCCAGAAATAAAGGTAATTTATTTAATTAATAAATACATTTGTTGTTTAGAACAACCTTAGCATTTTAAATTCTTCTAGTATTAAGATAGAAAATAATAAATATAGGTAGATACCGAAATGTTATTATTAACCAGTAAAATTAAATTTTAAACTATTTATTTTTTTTCAAAATGTATTTTTGAGTTCATTTATATTTTTTAATTTTATGAGAAATAGCTTAAAGGGTTTATTTTTTATTTTTCTAAACTTTTGTTCATTGTAGCTAAGTATTTTAAGAAATAATTTGTTAAAAATATATAATAAAAAAGTCAATAGTATAGGCAAATTTTTACAGTAGAATATTATAATTATTAAAAGCTATGGCCCTTCATTAAATTAATGTATTAAAACTAAATAATATTGGTAATAAAATAGGTTATATTTCATGCATTAAACAATTATAATGATGGGTTGGGTTGGGTTGGGTTAAAATTTACTACATGTATGACATAAAGCAAATAAACACTATAGTATACTTACATTTTTTGTATATGGATTGCAAATGAAAGTTAAGTATGTTTTCCATCTATTACCTTTACAGATATCATTTGGATTAGTATTAATATCTCCATTGATATAAGTAAGAACAACAGTATGTTCTAAAAAATTAAAACATTTTAATATAATCATCAATTATTTTGTAACTAACACATACCATTTATAACTACATCAGCATGAATAATTTGTCCCAAAATTACTTGTTCTCCTTCAGCATTAAATTGAACAGCACCTGCTATTGATTTTGAACCATTTAGAGGAATCCCTCGACAAATTGATACATAGAATTTTTTATTATTAGATTCAGTCTCAAGCCTAAAATGATTTCATGTTTATTAATAAAATCACAATGTCATACTACAATTTAAATAGTTAAATTGCAAATATTAATTAATTTTCTTCTTTTAATTAATTTTAGTAGGGGATGCGATTGTCCCGTAGTCCAAGCCACAAGTCGCCTCTGCTTATCTTATCATAAATCATTGGAAGCTATAACATTAATTTGTAAAGGTCAGTCCCCTTCCTTTTAATATTTTTATAATTTTCTTTTTGTAACAATTTTAAATATTTTAATTTTTTGGGGGATTTTCTCCATTGACGGGAAACGGGGGAATTTTTTTCAAATTTTGAAGGCAATGACTTCAGCTAGATACGAATTGTGATCTTCTAACGCATAGTAAAATTAATAATATTTATTTACTATGTTTTGACGTATCATTAAAAGAAATCGGTCCGATAAGAGCCGAGAAAAAGTAGCAACTGACATAAAAATAAATATAGTTTAAAAAAACACGCTTTTAAAGCACATGGAACTAAAAAGTTAAAAATAATTTTTAAAATAATTATGAACAAAAAATACTATTATTGTGATAAAATCGTCGGGCGCTCAATATACGAAAATATGGCACAAAGCACCCACGCTTTTATCACAATAATAGTATTTTTTGTTCATAATTATTTTAAAAATTATTTTTAACTTTTTAGTTCCATGTGCTTTAAAAGCGTGTTTTTTTAGTTTTTTTAAACTATATTTATTTTTCACTTTTTAGTTTCATGTTATTGTAGTAGTTACTATCAATATCATGGTTGTAACGGGTAACGGAAAATCAGGGTTCGATTCCGGGGAGGGAGTCTGAGAAACGGCTACCACATCCAAGGAAAGCAGCAAACGCGTAAATTACTCACTCCCGGAACGTGGAGGTAGTGACGAAAAATGACGATACGGAAATCATCTCTCGTAATCGGAATGAATACTTTATATCTCTTAATTAAAATAAAGCGTGTTAATAAATAAATTTTAATAGTAATTAGAATATATATATATACAAGTAAAGCGACTTAAGTACGTAAACGTATCATGCATTAGGTACAGTCGTGTTTTGTGAGCGGGCAGGTCGGACTAACGTTATACCTGAGGTATAAACGGCGGTAGAAATATATACGTAAGCCGTATGCACGCGGATGATAATGGTCAGTCAAAATAAAAATTTGTTTATATATATATAATATTGATGACAAGCACGCGTGTACGGGTACGATAACCAAAAATAAATTTATACAGGAATAGTATTGCCGGCGTGTAATGAGCGAGGCGTAGGGTGGGGTGAATGCGTTTTGACAATCTAGTCTAGACGACGGAATATGCGATAACGCGTGGCGTTTTGAGAGTTACATACATACATACATACATACATACATACATACATACATACATACATACAGGTGAAACTAATATAAGCGTGTTAAAAAAAGAAAAACACGTCATAGTAAAATTAACACCTCAGCTTCACATCGAAACTAAAAGAGTTTATTTAATTAAAAGTACTAATTCTTTATTTATGCGTCAATAACATTTCAATAAATAATGTTTTAAGTCAAAACTGTATTGCAACCAGTTATAGTATAAGCGAACAGAAATTACTTATTTAATTGAGCCATCAAAAACTATGCTTTCATTGATAAATATTTTCTAAAAAACTATTATTACCCAAAAATTTCTGATAAATAAACCGAGTATATACATGATAAGGTAACTCATCTAGTTACACGGCAGACAAAAGTTGGATAGTGAAATATTTATGAAAAAATTTTAATATCCAATAGATTATTTGACGCCGATTCCAAATATGCCCTTAGTTTTTCTATATCATTAATATTTTAGCAACGATATAAATATTTGTAAAATTACTGTTCTTACATAAAATGTTAATTAAAAGAAAAAATGTCTATAACCTTTAATTATATTTATCATGATCATCTGCCCATAAATTTTAAAACTTCAAATATTTTTATCAAATAAAAAAACAAACCTAATAGAGTAAATTTAAGTAAAAAAACTAAAAAGTCCTGTGGCTGAACGCAATTTTAACTGCTCATATTACTTTTAAATGTATTAGTGTCTTAATTTTTGCTATTTAAGTTATACATCACAAAGTTAAAATTTCCAGTAATACTGATGGTGATCACTTTTGCAGTGTTCAATAATTGAACCAATAACCTTATGCATTTATTTTAAAATGGCCCTCAAAAATTAATTTTATATTTTTTTCGAACGCTATCTCTAAATTTATTTTAATAATTATGAAAATGAGCTGTACAATATTTAACATCAATATGATAAAATTAACCCGTATCTTTACTTTGAAGTCGAGTAAATAATTATGAGATCAAAAGAAAATTAACTTTTCACTATAAATTTTTTTATTAAATTTGATGATACTATTAAAGAAAATTTAAATCTGTTAAAAAAGGTTAAAGAATTAACCTTTTAACAAATTTAAATTTTCTGTTTTGTGCTTAACTGTTTATTTGTTTTATACATTATTATCTCTTTCAAGATAATATTTTTTATTGAATAGAATAGTTTAATTATAAATTTTTAAATAAATAAAAAGATTCCTTTCACCAATTTTATTAATTAAATTTACTTGATTAACATATATAATATAATAATACGTTATTAACTATGTTATCATCTATTTGTAGTATTAATTTCATATATTTTCGTTTTAAGACATTTTGAGAGACCTGTATATTTAATTTAAAACAAATTATGCAACTATTTTTTATAAAGGTGAGTTCAATAACGTATTTTAAACGATATTTACAATCTACTTAAATTACTTATTGGGCAATTCCAATGACCACATAAAAAGTACCAAATTACTGCGTGTATCTAGTTTTCAATATTAACGTGTAATTTAAGGGATACTTAAACGAAAGAGATAAGCATTCGATTGTACTTAAATAATATAACATACGTTTAACAACAATATTGAATATATTTAAACTGAAATGTTATAGACTAATATTGTGAACTATGAAAAAAATCATATAGATTAAAGAAGAATTCTCTAATTATATTTGTGTAGTAATGAAATAATTTATAATGTGAACTTGAACACGTTATTAAAAATAAATAAATAACTAGGTTATAATTTTGTTAGACTTTACTACAGTTAATCATTTTAAAAATCATCAGACAAATTATTTAGAAGGGGTAATAAAAATATTTATAAAAGGTATAGTCAAATTTTTAAAAATGTGTTTCCTTTTTAAAGCTTTTATGTTCTCGTTGTTTCAAAATAATTAAAGATTTTTAAAATTAATTAAATGAGTAGAATACTTTCTACTATTTATTTTTTACATATTTATATTACATTGAGAACTGAAGACTTTTATTAATTTTATAAATTATCTGAGATATTCTGATATCAGAGTCTAAATTTTTACATTAAAATCAGGGCTAGCTAATTTATTTCACCAGAAGCTAATTAATAAAGAGGCAGATACGCATTTAAAACTATGCTGCCCTGAGGATATTTTATTAAACATATTATTACAGCCAATAAGTATTCAGTTTATTAAATTTTAGTTAATAAAAAAATCATTTTTTTTTGTCAAACAAAAATAAAAATAAAAATTAATTACACCTAAGATTTTCTTCTTGAAATTTGCTGCTTGAGGCCATTGCCCCTTTAACCCGCTATTAATACGTCACAGTAAAGACTGTCGAGGGACTTATTATTTTCCAAAATTATTTTTATTTATATTTAAGTGTCCAAACACAGGCAAAAATGGATGGGGACTTCAAGGAACTTACACCCCCAAAAATATAGAAAATTATTTTCATTGATACATGAAAACTATTTTTAAGATAAAAGAATAGCATTTGCCCTCCAAATTTTTTATTCTATTTCAGCCTATATGTTTATAATACTAAAACACTTTAGTCTTACGATTTAGAATTTCTTTAAACATCATTTAATGTACAAAATATATTTTTTAAATTAAGTGAATCATGGCTCAATATTAATCTATTGATTTAACTTAAAAAATGTTTTCTTTCGAGACTTCGCTGAGTATACAAAACTAATTATTAGATTTATCAATAAAAAATTAAATAGTCTGTGAATTAATATCGTAATGAATACCAAGGATAAGAGTAATTTTCATAATTATCATTTTAATCCGATTTCATTTTATCATAATTATTTTGATTTATATGGATCAATGTTCTCAATAAAGTCATTAAATCTATTAAAAAAATTATTATATAATAAATTTGTGAACCTCATTAAATAAAAAGATATTGATTTAAAAAAACCATCTTTAATTTATATTTATTTAGAATATTTCAGAAAATATTCATTAATTTTTGAGTTTACTATACCAAAATGATATTACAATATTTTATGTACTGATGATTATTGTAAATTCAGGCAAATAAAATCCGCTTTCTATTGTTGGCGACAAATTTTTATATTAAATGCCTATATAAAAGATTTACTATCTTTTTATAAAATATACATTGAGCGATATAAAAAGATTACAGTCAGATACTATAGAGAAAATAATTAATTAGAGTAAAAATTGTGTAGTAAGGTACATAGCGTTAAAAATTGATTTTATATTTTCAACTTATTGTACTTAAGTATATTATGTATGTATTATACAGTATATTCAGTAAGTAACGAATATTTTTAAGTTAAATTTTTTTATAAATTACTTTTGACAATGAAACTTCAAAAAATTATTCAATGTAGGTAGTTAAAAATACAAATTAGGAGAAGAACAAATGTTTTCCTAATGTTCTTTGAAATAATACATTTTTACTCTCATTATAAGAATGGGTAACTAAAAAATTGAAAAATATAGTTTTTCAGATTTCCTTAAAATTAAAAATATTTAATATGTGATTGTGTTTTATAATAATTTATAAAAGTGTATTATAACTGTGTGTAATTTTTAAAAGTATCAAAATAATTTTTAAAAAATTGACCATTTACATTAGTTTAAACATATTGCAAAATTAGACATTTAAAATTATTTTGTCTCTAACATTATACTTTAAACGATAAATTCATAATTTTATGAATAAAAAAAATTTTAATTTTCTTATATAATAAATAAGAAGATTATTCAATTCTTTAATTAAATAGATAAATATAACTTAAGTATAAATAGACTGATATGTAGTTAATATTTCAAAGACCAAGGTCTTAATAAGACAGCTATAAAAAATATTCACATAAGTAATAAATAATTATCTCAATTCAAAAATAAAAAATATTACGTCAATTTGTAAATTAAATACACAAAACAAAAGCCTATGTACCGTAAAAAAGAGTAAATTCATCTTCAACAGTAATATCTAATCATTTGATTATAATATAACACTATTGAGTTTACTTCAGGTTTAACTTGCTTTTTTCCGATGAAATTTGTAGTTAATAATAATTATTAAAAAATTAATTATATTGTCTTAACACAAATTTGACAGCCGTTATTTAATTGTTAAATTAAAAATATATATATATTTAACAGAAGATTAAACTCATAATAATGATATAGTGACCTCGACCCCATGCATGCATTACATTTTAGAAATTCAAGAAAACGGTCGCTCCATATAAATTTAGAAAACATCGATTAATAATTTTAATTACTAATCTCATTAAGATAAATAAATAACTTGTGTTTGAACTATTTTGAAAAAAAATGGCATTGCTCCATATTACCTTAATAATAAAATTAATACGCTGCATTATTTATAATCTTAATACTTTTAAACAATTCTGAATATACAATTGTCACAAGTATTTTAAACAACATCTTGTAATTTAAATTAAATTACAATAATACTAAGATTAAATACTAAGATGTTTTAGGCGTGAGCGATTCATACTCCAGTGCGAGAGAAGATTATTACAAGGTGAGTAATATTTCAATGTAAATATAAAAGAAAATCAAGTAAATAGTGTGAAGCTACCAAGGACACAAAATCAAAGAGATTTGATTAAAAATATTCAAGCCTTGTAGTATTTGTGGTGAAATAATTATCATGTTACTGAGCTTCAGCACATATGATATATGTTCTACAATAATATACATGTATATATACAGAATGTTCAGAATGTTTTCACATCTTTAATAATTTTTAATCCAATAAATATTTTTTGCTACTTTTTTTAATTTTGGCAGTTTTGGATTACGCTAAAAATACATTTTTTTTCTTCAAATTTTTAAAATTGCATTTTTAATTATTTACTTACAAAAAACTTTAATGGATCGATAACAAATTTAGGAAAAGTACTTATTGAGTTACACACGTAGAGTGGGTATGTAGTCGCAGTATACGTACAACAATACAAGTTGTATCCAACTATATGTGTCCATATGCACTCTATGTAATTAAAAACTTGTAACTCAGTAAGAACCTTTCCTTAAGTTACTATCGATATATCAAAATTGTCTGTAAAAAATGGCTGTTTAAAATTAAAAAAAAATTATTTTTTTAATAATAAAATATTTTCTAAAAATTCTCTCTGCCAAGATGTGCAAATGCATTAAACTATCATGCAGCTTAAACTGTTCATTGTTGTGTATATTAATTAATAATAAAATTTCTTAACGGACTAAGTTATTTTCAGTCATAAATTTGAAAATCTTAAACAAATCGTTTTGTTTAATGCATAAAAAAAATGTTTGGTAAACAATTTTAATTAATATACATATATTTTTAAATTATACCAAATTTCAAGTAAAAAATTTTAGTAATCGTCAAAAAATTTTAATTAATACATTTTTTATCAAACAAATAATCTTTTAACATTTAATATAGTAGTTTAGTATTTCAATCCGATGCTCTTACATATATAATATCTATAATCAAAATATTTTAATAACGGTAATATTTAAAACAGACAACACTATCAAAATACAAGGTGATTTGGTAACTATGTATCACGCAATATCTTCAAAAATATTAGAAAATATATAAATTGTTATTTTTAGAAGTTATTAGTATCCCACACGGATAACTAATTTAACTTATACGGAAAAAAATAGTTCTCACCCCACTCTTTATCTTTAAAATTGTACCAACTTACGTTTTTTACAATGGTAACATACATGTAAAATTAGTTTAAAGTAAGATAATGTCTAATCTATAACAACTTTTGAACCATTATTTAGAAAAATATAAGTATTTTTACATCATGATTGGGGGAGAAGAGTTGGTTTAGAAATGCTTAGAGATAAAAATAAACAGACTTACATTTCACCTCCATCCTTTATTTTTAAGTGTTAATAACTCCCAAAATACTCGTTCAAAAGTTGTTATCGCTCAGTACTTTTCTTCGTTATATCATTTTCTTATTTTTATGCCAGTAAAACAAGTTTGTTTAATTAATATAATTTGGTACAATAGTAAGTGGGACATAGCTATTGTATCTATTTAAATTATTAAATGGACAGTTTATATAAATTTATATTACAATTTTTCATTAACATTAAATGATGGGGAATAAATACAAATGTAAGTAAAATAACAAAAAATAATAGTAATACAACTAAGAATTATTAATTATAAAATCAACGTAAGTTTATTAATAGTAGCGTTACTTGCGTAATTAGTTACTTTAGTGTTAAATAATTAAAGTAATTGGGATACTAATAACTTTTAAAAAGAAATAATTATCTATTTTCTTACATTTTTGAAAATATTGCGTGAGACGTAGTTTTGTATAAACATTTTTTAATGTTTTTTGGTTTGAAAGTGCTCAGAAATGAAAAAAAAAAGAATACGTATAGAATATTTTCATAATTTTTTAATTGGATAAATAATTAGTTTTTTTTTTAATAATAGCGTTTAAGAATATTTACGTTAAATTCATTGTAACTCGGATAGTTTATATCAATCAAAAGCTGTTCACATTGTGTAAGCAAACGCCCTTTTACATAACAAGGTTGATTTATACACACTCAAATAGTCCGACGACCGAATGAATTAATCAATTTATCACCGGCGTAACGCTATTTGTCCAGTAGTTCATAAGCGGCCTTGACTTGTACTTTTGATTTTTAATATTGATGATTAAAAACTACTTACGTTTCACCAAACAATTCAGTTAGCCTAGCGAGCCCGATGGTCTGCTCTTTGCCGGCGTTTTCACGAAGAACGCATCCATAATGGTCTGGAACAGGATATCCCACTGTCACTCCTAGCAAACCACATATAACCACAAAAACAGTCCACATGGACGTTTTCCAATCCATTATTAATCATGAAAACATGTATTTTATACGATTTTTAAACTATACTAAATGCACAGAACACGCTAAAAAACGAATAAATGGTTTGAATTGGACACTGAATCACACACACACACACACACTTAATGATAAAACCTATGCGTAAGGTTTTACATTACAACTGTTGCTTCGAGTGGTTTCGTAATACACGCAACCTACAACGCCAAGACAGCGGCTACAACTGATTGGTAGAAATCCGGTTATTCTCTGTATGGAACACTATCTAATGTGGACAATACCATCACATGATAGCAGCCACATTTTCAATGTGCGTTAAGTTCCCGTTCAATTTCTTTTTGCATTTTGAGTAACGCAATAATTTAATAATTGATCGGTAAAAATTTCTTAAGATAATACTATTGTCGTAATATACTCGCCACTATTATAATATGTAATAACAGTGGGCTATCCTGTTTGTGTTCACAATACTAATCTTTTTGTTTAACACAATTAACACTTCTATTACTACATTATATTCAAATTTTTAGAATAACATTTCGACCAAAAAAAAATTGAAATAAATAACTTGTAGAAATATTTAACAAACGCATGATGTGTTAATCAGATTATATTACAAACGTTTCAGTCATAAATCAATAATTAGTCACTTTTAAAAATCACTCTTTACAGAGAAAAAATCAATAAATTATACTTGTTTTACATTTTCTTAATTATTAATAGAAATGTGTCAACCCTCATCGTAACTGTAAAAAACTATATTAACGTTGTATAAAATATCAAATAGATTTTGTATACTATTCATCTGTTTATAAAGTTCATGCTTACTTATCAATATAACATTGTTAAATGACAACAATGATGTTTGGACATACAAAATATTATAAAAAATCAATCCCTTACAGTCTGGTCTGTTCTAATCGCGCACTCGACATCGTTATGTAAAAGTTGTGATCATCATTATCGGAATTCTTACGTGTTTAAGTTGTGAACTAAAAATCAAATGTATGTTATTTTATTTATCAATAATGCTGTCATTGAAGTTACTCTAAGTACAAAGAAAAAACCCAACCTTACCCTAGTAAAGTCAACATATTAACCTGTGAAATACATTTAATCTATTTATTTGAATATTTTTATGTGAAATATAATCTTTATGATTTAGGTGTAATTTTGTATATGTATTTATTAGTTCATTGATTTTTAAAATCAATTAAAAATGAAAAGTGGAATCAAATTATATAATTTTTCTGAGAATAACAAATAAAGGTTTATATAAATTATCAGGTAAGATTTCAAATTAATAATTATTATAATTAAAATTATAGTTAATACTTATATTATTATATGACCCTTGTCATACCCCAAATGAAGGTAACTCTCACTTTTATACAACACCTTCAAATTTTCTTATAGTAATGTTTTATATTTTTATTGATTAAACAAGTGTTTAGCACGTTATTATTTTATAAACTTTTGAGTTAGGATAATATGAATTGAAAACGGATTTTGACCATAAGATATTTACCTGTTATATTTTAATAAAATGATATTGTCTTAATAACATTCAAATAACCCACTCCAATTGATCGTGATTAATTATTTATAAATTACATTTGCTCACTTAAAAGTATTATCAATGAGTAGCTCCTTTTGTCAAGTTTTTTTTTCATGTGTTATTTTAATTTATTTCAATACTCTTATTGTTCCTATTTGGTACAGATTGTGTATATAAAAAAAATTAAATAAATAAATTACTTTTGAAAAAATTGTTTGTCTGTCAATAGAAATTAATTATTTCTATGGTTATTTTTCTTGAGCATTTTAGTATAACCCAAGATCATTTTTTTATAAATAATAACACAATATTACGTAAAAAAAATATTTTTCAATACTCTTCAAAATTTATATGTACTTGCCACTGGTACATGCTCACTGACTACTTATTATACACCAATTTTATTATCATACATAAATACTTATTACATTAAGCTATAAAACAAACATGAGTATTTTTTTGTTATGATTTCATGTCTATAATAAAATATTTTCTATGACGTTTGCCTTTTTAGTTTTTAACAATTGTCGAAAAAAAATAATCAAATAATAATATGAGCTTCATAGATTTGAATATTTTACATAAAATCAGCTTATATACATAGATGTAGGGAGAATGGCCTTATTTTTCCAATTTCATAAATATATGTAATATTATTATAAAAAGGATAAATGAAAATTCTTAAAGAAAAAATCAATTTATTTTCATAAATTCAATTTCAAAGACTCGTATCATTATATAAATGTATACATACATGCATGCAATGGTGGGCATTAACTAGTTAAAAAGTTAACTATTAGACTTAATTAGTTAATTATTTTTTTAATTCAACTTTTTAACTTAACTAGTTTCATTTTCCATTAAAGCAACATACATTTTTTCAGTGAATTAGTTAAAATAACAGTTAAGCTAAATTCAAAAATTCATAATAATTTTACAGTGGGTCTAAAAAGTCTCCGTACACCGATATCAAATTTTTTCAACAACATAAAATAGTGACTTAAAATTTAAATTACTTCATATTTATAACACACATTTATTTAGAAACATGTTAATATTTGTTTCAAAAAAATTGAAACATATATATTAATAAGTTTACTTTATACATATAAAAAATTTAAAAAAAATAATAGCAAAAAAGTCTCTGTACATATTAACATTAATATTTTTAACTTAATCAATTATAATAATTATCATAATTAATGATCAGTGACCCTACTTTAGCCCTAAAAACTTCATTCATACGTTTTTCAATGGATTCTACTAATTTTAATGTAACAGTTGAGTCAATACTGTTCCATGCTTCAAGAATTGCTGTTTTCAATTGTTCTTTGCTTCATGTTTGATAATTGTTTAGACGTCTACCTATTTTATCCCATAAATGTTCTATAGGATTCATGTTAGGTGATTGCAGAGGTGTGTTAAGTTGCTTTGGTACTCGGTATAATAACCATTCTTTAACTTTTTTATGTTATGAGTTGTTTGCTTGTTGAAAAATATACGAATTGCCATTATTTTGTTTTTCAACACTTGCATGTAAATTATTTCTCAAAATGTTTAAATAAACATGTTAATCCATTATACCATCGATAAATACCAAATTACCAACACCTGCAACGCTCATACAGCCCCAAACTAATACATAACCACCCCCATGTTTTGCCGTCGGGCACAAAATTTTACAATCCATTTGCTAGTTAGGTTTTTTCCGCATCATAACTCGCCCATCTGAACCAAAAATATTAAATTTGCTTTCATCACTAAATAATATAGACTTCCAAAAATCATTTACCTTGTTTATGGGTATCTTTGCAAAATTTAAACGTTTCTTTTTATTTAATTCACTGATAAAAAGGTTTTTTCCTTTAATTTTTGAGAACAACCACTGCGTTTTCTATCTTCGAAAGAACCAGTTTCATTGTATCGGTTTATTATAAATTGTACAGTCGAATGTGATTTATTTATTGTTTGTGCAATATTTCTAAGAGAATTTCCATCTTCTTTTTCTTCTTCGCTTTAATCCCAACTACTTGGGGAGGGCAACTCTTATCCTAAATTTCCACTTGACACGATCTCCCACATCAGCTGTACTCATATGGCATTCAATAGTATCCCTCCATCTCATTTTTGGTCTTCCTCTACCTCTTCTTCCTTCAACATTCATTTCTACAACTGTTCTTACGGCTTCCGATTCTTCTTTTCTTATAACGTGACCAAACCATCTAAGTCTATTTTCTCTCATCTTATCCACGATTGACACTACACTTATACTCCCTCTTATATACTCATTTCTTATCCTATCTTCTCTAGTCACTCCACTCATCCATTTAAGCATTCTCATCTCTGCTACACTCATACTCTACTCTACTTTCGTATCAACCGCATAACTCTAAGAATCATACATCATAGCTGTTCTCACTACAGTCTTGTAGAATTTACCTTTCAGCATCATTCGAATTCTTTCATCGCATAAGAAGCCAAATGCTTCTTTCCACTTCAACCACCCGCACTTAATCCTGTGTCTTACAACCACGTCAATACCATCTTTATATATGTCACCCAACCGCTCTTTTGCACAACTGAACCTAATTACTTAAAACTTTCCACCTCTCCAATCACGTCCTCGCCTATTGTCACTGACCTTCTCATTTCACCTACTTCGTGTTCTCTTTTGTCAAACTAGTTCTCTATATACTTTGTCTTACTTCTACTTATTCTCAAACCCTTTTCTTCAAGCGCTGGTCTCTACACCTCTAGTCATTGATTAATTTCCTCCCTCTTTCCTCCTATTAACACTATATATCGTTAGCAAACAACAAGCACCACGGCACCTCTCCTTGTATTTCTCTAGTAATTTCATACATCAGTATAGAAAATTAGTAAGGGCTTAAAGCTTGGTACACTCCTACTCTTACCCAAAAACCTTCTGTTACTCCTCTTCCTTACCATCTTCTTTTAGTTTAATTACTAATTTACGAATTGCAATTGGCATCTCCATTGTTCAATGTATATAAATTTAATAAAACTCGCTAAGCGTTTGTCTACCGCCTTTAATGGCTACAAAAACACTGATGACGTGCACTCAGATATGTAGTACTCCATACGTATAAGTCCATAAAGGGATTTCCACATTATAGTCCTATTGTTATCTGTAATTCATAAACATATATAAATGTACGGATATTTTTTTGCTGTCATTTTCGTAAAATTGTTTATATATTTATAAATATGTATGCAGTAAACTAATCAATATATATGCTTTATTTTTTTTTTGAACAAATATTAATATGTTTCTAAATAGATGTGTGTTATAAATATGAAGTTATTTAACTTTTGAGTCGCTATTTTATGTTGTTGAAAAAATTTGACATCAGTGTATGGAGACTTTTTTGATCCATTATATATTTTAATACTTGGTATAATTAAAAAAAAAATCGAATTTTCCTCTTTCCTAGATAATATATTTATATTACAATAAATATAATTTTTTCAGGGTGGGATTTTTGAACTTGAAGGCAATTGCATTAGCATTGCTCATTATAAATTAGAAATCCAAAAAAAAAATTATCTGATTTTTATCTGATTTTTTTTTTTGATAATAACTAGTTTTAAAGATACAACAGTGAAACCAACACCAACATTTACAGAATGAATAAAAAAAAAAATA